GCAGAAACCGTGTCCTCCCTGAACGTGAATGCAGCGCCCCCGCCCAGGGTGGCTGCCCTCCGCGCCAGCCTGATGTTCCACGGGCCACAGCCAGACCTGGTCCAGCCGCCCACTGGGTGGGCCGCCTAAGGGGCTTCCGGGAAACAGAAGCCAAAGGCGGAGGAAAAAGACAGCCCTTCTCCCTGCTCGTCTCAACCCAGAGGGTCCTCTCCTCGTAAAACCGACAAACCCAGGGCCCATGCGAGGGGACGCCCATGGCCGAAGGCGGGTGGGGTGCGGGGTCGGACCTCTGCGCCCTGGGCCGTGGCGGCCGGCTCTGTCGCGGGAGGCTGGGCAGTGTCTCTTTAAGGCTCAGCTCACTGCTCCTGGGCGCACACAGTCAGCCTGGGAGAAGGCAGGGGCCTCCGGTTTATTTTATTTGACATTTTTCAACGTCAGGGCACTTCAGAGCCAAGCAGGAAACAAATCCCATCTGCTCCCGGGCCCCCACGCGCAGTTCAAGAGGACAGGCTGCGGGGGGCGGGGGCGCGGAGGGCGCGGAGCCCTGGAACACGCAGCCCCATGCGGGCCCGCGGCCCGGCACACACCCACGGAGCCCTTCTAAGCTGCGGCCCCGGGCTCGGCCGAGGGTCCTGGGGCCCTTGGCGTGGGGCCCTGGACTGGAGTCCCGCCAGGGCCGCCAGGCACATGACCGTGTACCAGGGGAGTGGCTGCCCCCGGAGGTGTGAGAGCTGCCAGCGCTCGGCAGGCGCCGCCTGGGACCCCTGCCGCCTCCGCTGCGAGGCTGGGGCACAGCGGCCCAGACGGCCATTCACACAGGTGGGAACAGACTCACTGGGAGACCAGTCCAGGTCAGAGTGGGGAGGGAACGCAGGGGGCCTGGCCGACCTTCCCCCCGGGCACACGTGGCCCTGAACCCCGTGCCTGCACCCGACTCGGCGAGGGCCACCCTCCCCCCGCCCGGGGAGCTGGGACGAGGGGACAGATGGCCGCGCACCTTATCTTCTTATTCGATTAAATTCCAGGCCTTCCTATTTTTAGAGAAAGAAATTCCTTTTCTCTTTTCAAGAGCAAAAAAGGTCCCGAGCTGTCACCCAGGACAGTCAGCAGCCAACTTGGAGTTGTTGTCTACGGAGTCTGATGTGGACGTCGCCGCGGGGCAGTGTCCGGCGGTGCTCGGTCGAGGTGCCGGATTGTAAGAGGGTCACGGACAACTTGAGAGCCTCCAGGGGGGTGACCAGGACAAGCAGGGAAAACACGATCATTGAAAAACATACTAAAATAAACTGGGGGCTTCGGGCAGGGGGCGGTCCAGAGAAGAGAACAGAGCATGAGGAAAACGTCGACGTATCTGAGGGAGGATGTACGCTTACTCTATTTTCCCCCAGGTGACAAAATTTGAAATCACCAATGTGCAGAAGTGACAGTGAAGCAGACTTCAGGTGACTATTAAAAAACTTCCTTATAATTTATTCTCTTTGAAACGGAGCCTGCTCCCCGACACAGTGCCTAGGCAGGCACAGGCTGCCGGGGCAGCTGCAGGGACGCGGCAGAGCAGGTCCTTGTGCTTCACGGGAGGATGGAGCAGCCCACAGTGCCTGCGCTTTGGGAGGCCGCGGCTTCCGGGGCAGCCCAGAGCCCCCCGGGGTAGGCCCGAGACGAGATTTGGAACTTGCGTTTTTGAAAAGCCCCGTCAGCGATAAAACCCTCAGAAGAAAACACAGGGGGCATCGGGTTGGGCAGCGACTTCTTGGCTATGACACAGGCAACGGATAAGTCAAACTCCACCAAAACAAAAACCCTTTGCGCCTCCGAGGACACTATCAACAGAATGAACCGGCGACCTACAGGCTGAAAGGGGACGTTGGCCAATTATGTATCTGACAAAGGATTTGTATCCAGAATATATAAAGAACACGTAGAATTAAACAACAAAACTACCCAATTTAAAAAAACAACCTGCAAAGGACTTGCATAGACATTTCCCCCTTAGAAGGGAAGCAAGTGGCCAATAAGCACACGAGAACACGCTCAGCGAGACCAGTCGCAGGGAACGCAAAGCAAAACCCCCGTGAGAAGCCACCTGCGCCCGTTAGGCTGGCCGCCGCTCGGCAAAGAAAACGCCAGGCGTCCCGGTGAGACACCAGAGCCCTGGGGCACGGGCGGCCGGCACGTCCTGTCGCAGGGACGCGCTGCTTCCTCTCGACACGGGAAGTGGAACCGCCGCGGGATGCTGTCATCCCGCCTCGAAGGAACCGAAACCAAGGACTCGAACACGTGTGGGCATCCACGTTCCCAGCCACCGGCAGGCGGACACCCCCGGTGGGGCGAGCCGAGGGGTCCCGCCCCCTGCAGCGGCGCTCGGCCACAAGGCGGGAGGATGTGCTGGCACCTGCTACCGTGCGGCAGGCCCTCGAGGCCGCGGTGCTCCGTGACACGCGGTGGTCACACGGGGAAGGAGGCGGGCAGCCTGGTCCCTCTCAGACGAGGCACAGGGGGTCCCTAGAAGCGCAGAGGCAGGAGGGAGGGGTGGGCGGGGCGGGGTGCCGAATGGGGGCACGTCGGTTGGTCTCGACGGCGGGGCTGGTCCTGGGGCAGCAGGGGCGCTGGCGGCGGCTCGGCGGCGAGAACGGGCCCGATGCCCCGCGCGACACCCGGAACGTGGTGCCCACGTCGGCCGCCCGTAACCAGCGCCTCTCAGCGCCGCCCTCACGCGGCACCGTTTTTGAAGTGTGCGACTGTCTTGGCGGTGGCGGCAGCTGCCTCCTCCCGTGGGGAGAAGAGCGAGCCTCCTCGGCGCCCACACGGGTTGGACCGAAGGTCCACGGGGAGGGCCCCCGGGGGGACCCCCACCGGTCACCGAGGGCGCAGAGCACCCCTCGGATCGGGGGCCCAAGGAGGGTCGTGGCACCTGGGGGGAGGGGGGCCCAGAGGCCTCTGCTGGGAGCTCCGGGAGGCGGGGAGGTGAGGCGCGGTGGCCACAGGGCCGCTGGACGGGGAGTGACTGAGCGGCGGGAGGGGAGGCGTGGCAGCAAAACCCGCTTTCTTAGGAGCAGGACGTTTTCTAAACTAAAACCCTGCGTGGCCCGCGCAGGGGGGCAGGAGGGCCAAGGTGAGGTTGAGCGACGCGGCCCAGGGCGCCGTTCCCGCCAGGAGGGGCTGGGGTCAGGGCCGCCGGTGACCAGGAAACAGGACGGAGGGGTGGCTGCTCACGGGGAGCACCCAGGGGCCCCCCACTCTGAATTCCGCAGCACACGGGAGGCTGCGTGGGTGCCTCACTGTCCTGCGGTGACGCTCACACGGAGAAGCCGGTCATGGGTCCAGCGTTGCTGCTCATCGACCACGAGAACGATGTGCAGCCTCCTGGGAACCAGCCCTGCCACCCGGTCGGTCCCCTCAGGGACACGCCAGGGCAGCGCCGATCTGGGCTCCTCGGGCCCACGGCTGGGGGTGCAGGGGGCCCCGCTTTCTCCACTGACTCAGGTGCATGCACAGAGTCCCAAGGGAGCAGGGCGGGGAAAGGGTGCAGGGCGTGGGGGGGGGCCCGTGCGGTCAGACGGCGCACGGGAGGGCGAGCCCGGGCCCCGGGGGGCGGCGCCCCTGCCTCCCTCGGGCGCTTCAGGAGACCACCAGGAACAGCGGCCAGAGCAGTGACGGCTAGCCTGTGGTGACCTTTGCCACGAGCCGGGAACTCTTCCACGCGAAGGAACCCGTTGAACCCTCACACCCGCCCTGAGACGCGTTCCACCGCCACCCACATGCCGCCCGGAGAGGGGAGCCGACCAGCCCCAGCGCCCACCAACGTCCGGCCGAGTCCAAGGACAGGATCCTCTGCCCCCAACCCCTGGGGACTGTCTGCCTGGCTACTGGGCGAGCGGGGTAGGGGCGGGGGTCTGGTTCCCCCCGGCGCCTGGGCGACTTCAGGAGCAGCGACCGGGCTGGGAGGTCCCAGCAGCTAAGGGGCTTCCCGGGGAGAGCCGGCCAGACTCCAGAGCACAGGCGGAGCCGGGCGGCTCCGCGGCGGCCCCAGCTGCAGGCTGGCGCGCTCAGCAAGGGGCTGGGCCCTGGGATTTGCAGGCGGTAAACAACCCCCCTGGTGCGTCAGCTGTTTTGCTCCAGAGCGGCCTCCTCCGCCGCCGGATGGGCCCCGCCAGGTCCCTCCTGGTGCAGCCCGGGCGGGAGCGGTGGGTGGCCTGAGCTCACTCAGGTCCTCCACTCTCTCCAAGTGGGAGGCTTTCCTGGGGAGAGGTCGCCCCTGCCGCTACCCGTGTGGTCCCTTGGAGGGTGGAAACAGGGCCCTCTGAGGTGCCCGAGGAGCTTCCAGAACCCTCTGCAGAACCCGGGCGGCCTGGCCGGCCCCTCGTCCTTCGCAGCCTCCCCGCTGTCACCCACATCGCGCCCAAGTTGCTCCACAAACCCCACCCTGTGAACTGGGGCGGGAAGAACAAGGAGACGCGGACCGCGCAGGGCAGGGCGAGGGCAGAGAGCGGGGCACAGGACCGGCAGAGGTCGGCAGAGGAGCGAAACGGAGCCGCCAGGACCGGGGCCGCGGGGAACACGGGGGCGGGGGTGGGGGCGCCGGGCCCGGGGGAGGCGGTACCGCGACTGCTGCCGCCGCCGCGCCGACCCCGCTCACGGGGTCACCCACACGCTTCCACTTTCCCTCCTCAGCAGCCTCTCCAGACAGACAGATACGGTCCCATCACCCTCCTGGCACAAATGGGGAAGCAGCTGAGGTCACCCGAGGTCTGCGCACTTTCTCCAGGGCCCCTCCTACCAGCCCGGTGGGGGTCAAGCACCAGGGAACGGACACAAGCCACCGAATGACAGCCCCGGGGGCCAATGAGAAGAGGCGCCAGCCCCCAATCCCCGCCCCCAGCCGCAGGCCCTGCGCCTCACGCCGAGGCCAGAAGGACCACGTGCGGCTCAGGGGCCATAGCAGCCGAGCCCCACGGGCCTGTCCACCGCCCCGCCCACCCGCGGGCAGGGCCCGCCCTCACCCGGTGGTGATGTCGTCGTCCTCCGTCATGGTCTTGCCCATGAGGTCGCTGTCGCTCATGTAGCCGGACTTGAGGTCCGCGTCGTCGGCGTCCAGGCGGGAGATGTGGCCGAGCTTGCTGGGGCTGCGCATGGGCATGGTGTGCGAGTAGCGGGCCCGCTCCCCGTGCGCCAGCCAGGCGGGCGGCCCCTCCGAGCGGCAGCTCCCGCCCACCGAGGGCGCGTCGCCCGCCTGCAGCCGCGGGCTGGCCTGGCCGTAGCGCCAGGACAGAGGGGAGGAGCGGTTGGAGAGGCTGGACACGCTGCGCGGGTTGGCGTCGTCGCTGTCGTAGCAGGTCATCTCCAGGGAGCTGGTGGGGGCGGGGTGTGGGGTTACTCTGGGCACCGGGGCTGCGCCCTGCCCGCCTGCCCAGGCTGCCTCCTCCAGGAGGCCCTCGGATTGCTCCTTAGACCCGGCCCAGGCCGCCTCCTCCAGGAGGCCCTCGGATTGCTCCTTAGACCCGGCCCAGGCCGCCTCCTCCAGGAGGCCCTCGGATTGCTCCTTAGACCCGGCCCAGGCCGCCTCCTCCAGGAGGCCTCCCGCCATGTGTGTTAGTCCTGTCACTTGTTATCTCAGGCTCGCAGAGGAAATGGGTTTCAGTGCCGGGAAGGCAGCCGCGCACCACTAATGGCGCAGGCTCTGTAATGCGAGCTGACTGCCGTTTGCTAGTAAGTGCACCGAGGACGGTGATTTCCTCAGCGGTGACGCGAGGACAACAGCTAACGGCTACTTCTCAGGGCTCCCGGCTCCCACGCGTGAAGCCCCGGCACAGCGCCGGGGCACAGCTGTGCTCAGGGAGCGGGGAGGGGCCAGGGGGACCTGCTGGGGGGCGGGCGCTGGCCACCTGAGTCTCAGGACCTGTCATCTCTCTGTCCACCTCCTTCCCGCTGATGAGCGGAAGGCCAGGTCCTTCCCAATCGGGATGGCGCAGGCCGGAGTGGGGAACGGAGCGCAGACAACGCCTGGGGCCCTCAGACCCGGGGCAGCCGACGGGGCCTCACCAGAGGACTACTTAAGTGGACAAGGCAGGGCAGAGGCGGCGGCGGCGGGCGAAGGCGGAGGTCCGGGGTGCCAGGCCTCAGGCCCGGAGGCCCGTGAGGTTAGCAGGGGACGGTGTCCTGAGCATAGGGGCAGGGCAAGGACAGCTGAGGGAGAGGCGGTGTGTGTGGCTGGTCTACATGGCGCTGATAAAACAGGCGGGGGGCGGGGGCTGTGCCGAGCCGAGCGCCGGCCCCGTGGCCGACGCCTGCCCGCCGGTCGGGCCCTGGCCCGGAGCACCTCCCCCGCACGTGCCCGCCCCCACGCCCCGCGCGCCGGGGCAGGGGAGGCTCTGTCTGCGGGCCCAGCCCTGCACCCAGGCCCCCATCTGGGACGCACACCGTGCAGGGAGCCGTGTGCCGGGGCAGAGGGCGGGCGTTTCATTTCCTCCCCAGGCCAGCACCCCGCCGACCCGACGCTCCCCTTGCTGGGGAAGCAGGGTGGGGACAGAAGTTTCTGGAAGGAACTGAATCCTGTGCGAGCCTGTGAGCTCCGGGCCAAGGGCGACCTTGCGGACGCTCGCCGGGCTGGGGGCCCCTCAGACACGGAGCCCGAGGGTGCTCGGTGGGTGGGGGCACTGCACGGTCCCGAGCCCGCAGGGCGCAGACCAGCCCGCGTCGGCCCGCGACCCAGCTGACCCTCCCAGGACACCCCTGCTCTGCCCCGGGACTGGGGCTCGCCCCATGCATGCCCAGGGCGAGGGACAGGAGGCACTCAAGAGAGTCGAAGCCAGATAAACGCTCAGGAGAACCGCCGTCTCCGCCATCCCCGCCTGGGGGAGGAGCGCGGAAGCCTGGGCCCAGGGCAGGAGCAGCCCTCGGTCTCTGTAAACAAAGCCAGGGTCAGGCTTTCGGTTCCCTTTCCCCTAAAAGGAGACAGAAGCCAGAGGCCCGAGGCGCCCCCCGCCCCCCCCAGTGCCTGCCTGCGGTCACGCGGCTCGGCTGGTCATGCGGCTCGGCAGGACTTGGGGCGCTGGCCGCTCAGAGCCGGGGGCCCAGGAGCCTGCAGCCAGCCGCGCCCCTGCCCTCTCCCCGGGGTGAGTCACTCGGGGCGTGACCCTCTTGGCGGCTAAGTGCTTTCTGCAGACCTCGGCAGGGGCCGGGAGCAGCGGTGCTGGGCGCTGACCCAGCAGCTTCCCTGGATGGGGAAGGGGATGTTCCGGCCGCTCCCAGAGGGTCTCCTGCGGGCCTGGGCAGGGGTGGCCCCCGAGGGTAGGGGCTCTGACGTACGATGGACACCACGGCAGGTGCCGGGGAGACAAGGGCCGAGGAGGAGGACGGGGAGGACGAGGGGGAGTGCGGGGGGCAAGGGTGGTCCTGGGAAGGAGGACTAGAGCCGATGCGTGAGGCCCAGCGTCGATTTAGTTCCACTTCCGAGTCGTGGCAATCCCACAGCGGGCTGCGACTGTTGAGAGGTGGTAAGTTCTCCGTCGCCGGAGGTATGTAAATGTACTCTGGCTATCACTTGGCCACACACTTGGGCTCACAAAGTCCTCTCCCCATTGTCCCTGTGTCCCAATTCCACTCTCAGTCTGCAGCCCCAGGAGATGGGGAGGAGCCGATTTGCAGGCCAGCCGGGGAGGCCGCCAGTCCCCGCCCCCGCCACGACGTCCTGTGTCCCAGCCCCAGGATTTCCCAATCCTGGCTCGTGCCCCACCCTCCCTGCCGAGCGCGGCCAGGCCCTCTGTCCCCCTGGGAGCCACAGCATGAGCTCATCTGGGCAGCCCGCGGAGGAGGGCAGCGGGAACTCTGAGTCACGCGGCTGCGGCCAGGACGCCCTGCAGGGGGTGTGTGGAGGGCGATGCCTAGGCCGCTGGAGGCCGCGAGGCCCCTGGGTGGGCGCGGGGTCTGGGTGACGCCGCGCGGACCCCCCGAGCCGCAGGGTAAAGAGCCGAGAGGGAGCCTGACCACAGCGAGCAAAGACCCTGGGAGCGGGGAGGGCGCATCCCGGACTCCTGGCGTGAGGGAGACTTCGGAGCAGGGACGGGGAGCACTGGGCAACACCTCGTGACCTGTGAGGGGAGGTCAAGGGGAAGCGAGTCTGGGGACCCTGGGCCTTGGGGAACGGAGGCGGGCGGGACCCCGCAGCGCACCTGTGAGTCACCTGGGACCCCCTCAGGCTGGACATGGTCTCCTCCAGGTTCTGCCGAAGGTCTAGCACGTTCTGCACCGTCCTCTTCCGCTGGGACTCCGGGTCTGCGAAGGAGAAGGGAGGCAGGGGGTGAGCGGTGGGCTCCCTGCGGGGCCCTGGGGTCGGGAGGGCCGAGACGGGCCGTCTCCCGGGGCGGGGGCTGGGGCAGGCCGGTCCCCGCCTTGCAGGCCTCCCACAGCCGCAGACACGGGCCCTCGACCATCCTGAAGTCTTAGGCGTGGAGAAGGGCCCTGGGGCCTGCAGGGTCTACGTCCTCCTCCCAGGCCTCCCAGGGACCGCCCCTGCCGCCGCTTCGCTCTGGGGGGCCCCTGCTCCCCACAGCAGAGGTCCCGGGCCCGGTTTCCCGGGGGCGGGGCCCGCGGGAGCCCTATCTCCAGGGACGTGCTGGTAGAAGTTTGGCAACGGGCGCCTGGAGGCTGGGGCGCCTGGTGTGGGGCGCCTGCTGGTCTCTGTGGTGTGAATACAGCCACGGCTGCTTTTAAGCTGCTGACACGGTGGCAGAGTCGACGGAGGGGCGCTAGCAGCCTGACCCTGGGAGCTGGTGGGGCGGCTGGGGCACGGCCCACCCCGGGGTCCCTAAGCGGGGTGGCCGTGGGGGAGGCCGGGCGGCGCACAGCCACCTTCTGGACCCGCACAGACGCCTGCTCGGGGCCCCGCCCTCAGATCCTGACGACCCGTCCCTCCATCGACCTTGGCTGGGACGCAGGCATCCGCTGGGTCGGAGGAGGGCCCACCCCCGAGACGGGAACGCAGCTGCCCCCGCTCCGGACCGAGTGGAGCCTGGGCTCAGGGGCCCGAGCAAGGCTCCCCGTGTGGCTGTCAGGCCCCCGCCGCCGGCGCTGGGCGGCCTGGGTGCGGCAGGGCGCAGCGGGTGGGGGCTAAGATGCAGGGGACCCGACTTGTCCGTCCTGTGCTCATCTTTGGCTCTGGGACCCACGTCACCGAACGGAAGCGAGTTCCCAGAGCCTCCTTGAGACACAGCGCCCGGGGCCCCACAGTGAGGAGCAGGCCAGCAGCCCTGACCCGGTCGTCTCCCCTGAAACCAAACTGCCCGCCCAGCGCCCCAGCCCCCACCACTCAGCGGGAGAATGAGGCTCCTTGGCTGCCAAGCGGAGCGCGTCTGGATCCCTTCGAGAGGCGTTTCCCCCCAAACCAGGCTTGGGCCGGCGGGCAGGGAGCCAGGCGGCCCCTCTTCCGGGAACCTGCCGCCCGCCCAGCCTGGCCGCGCCATGCCATGCACCCAGGCCCCCGAGCCGGGGGCTGGGAGAAGGGACCACGGCAGGCCTCTGCGCAGGGCCTGGGCTGCCGCCGGCCCCACGTCGCTTCTGTGGCCACGGTGCCTATTCATCCTGGCACGTGTTGCCTTGTGAGCGGCCCCATGGCTTTGACTGACAGCTTGGCAGGCGCGCGGACGCTCAGAAAGTTCACGCGTGTATTTCTAAAGCTGGGTTCTCCAATGCCGTTCCGGGGACCAAGAGCGCGGTGCCGGGGCGGGGGCGCGGGGCTCTGGGCCAGGGCCAGGCCGCCTGGGCGTCTGGCGGGGGCGAGGGGAAGGCCCGGACGGCGGCCCCGTGAGGAGGCGACCGGGAGCCACCGGAGACAAACAGTGGGTGGCCTCTGCGCGCGCCAGCGATGGCACGCAGTAGGTGCTCAGCGCACTTGCTCCCACAATTAAACACACACACACGGGTGGGTGGACACAGGCCCCGGTCGGAAGGTGTCTTTTTTAAGGGAAAACCAGTAACACTCAGTGGCCAGCCTTGGGCGGGTCGCCCGGGGTTTCCCCGGACACCGAAGGGTCGTGGCAGGAAGAGAGACGCCTCCTCACTCTCAGGAAGCAGAGCCGGCGCCCTCTTTCCCACCTTGCTTCCTTCCAGGAGCCCCGCCCCCGGCCCTGCCTCATTTCCATGTCTGCAGAGCCCTGAAGGCCAAGAGCCCGAGCCGCGGAGTCCAGGGACAGAGCCTGGCGGGCAGGGGGGCCGCCCGGAGGGGCCTGTGCCCCGCAGTGCCCTCTGGTGGCCGCCGTGGGCATGCCGCCCTGTTTCTCCAGGACCCCTCTCAGGGCGGGTCTGCTGCGGTGCGGGGGGGGGGGGGGTCCCCGAGAAGCTCGGAGATGAGAGGACTGACATGAACGTGACAGAACGGCCCTGGAGCCCCACAGGCTGCAGGCGCTTCGCCGAGATCGGGGGACAGCCCGACGTTCACGCCCACGACCCCAAGACAAACCTGCACTTGCAGCTTAAGAGCGTAAGCGGCGTTTGCAAAAGAATTCACCCCGCCCTTCCCCAACCTAAAAGCTCTTACGTGTATGTGAGTACGTGCGTGCGAGTGTGTGTACGTGTGTGAACAGGAGCGGCTCCACCCCAGCGTCGCCATGGTGACTCGCAGTTGCCACGGCAGCCGCACAGCAGGCCCTGGGCATCGGCAGGGCCGGCGTCTTTCTGCCCGCACGCTGCTGCCACTTGAGAGCACCCGTCCGACGCAAGCCTGGGGACAGGGACCGGCAGCCGAGTGCACCGGACAGGCAGCTGCAGTCCCCCCCACCCCCCGCCCCCAGCGTCAGGCACTCGCAGGCGAGCGCTTCCGCAGACGGGCGCGGAGGAACGCGCGCCGACATGCCTCCCACGGTGCTGGCGACGGCGGAGACCCGAGCGGAGGGCGATTCGGCTGCAGCAGGGCGGCCCCGGGGGCCCGGGGGTGTGAACGGGGCGCTCCTGTCCGCGCTGAGCGCAGAGCAGGCCTCCCCGCAGGCAGGGCCACGAGCGCGCCGGCCGGCTCCGAGAGGCAGGACGGGGCCGTCGCGGCTCCGGGTGGGAGAGACCCGAGCCCAGGTCCCAGCAGCCCTGCCCTGCCCGCCTGGCCTTGCACAAGGCGTCTCCCCTCCGTGCCGTGGGGAGAGAGGCGGGGTCCGCCTGGAGGGGCTGCTGGGACGATTGAGAAGCAGATTCGCGCGAAGGGCGTAGCCCGCGGCCTGCACATAGTAGGTGCCCCACAAAGGGCAGCTCGTGTCTGTCAGAGGGCGGGGCGCAGTGGGCACACCCGCCGGTGCCATCCCCGCCGGGCACGGCTCAGCAGGACCCTGCCTTCTCCGCTGGGACCGCACACCGGCTGGGAGAGGGCGGTCCTCACACTCGGAGGGAGGGGGCAGGCGAAGCAGCGACAGACCTCGTCCGGAGCCACCAGGCCCGACCCCTCTGTGCTGACGTCACACCTTCAGCCGGGCCCCTTGCGGGAGTCTCAGCTGCGAGGACGCTGGGCCTCTGGGGCTCCTCTGGCCACCAGCCTAAAGCAGACGTGGCTGCCTCCACCGGAGGGTCGCAAGCCCAACAGATCGGGGACACGCGGGATGGAGGAGGGGCTCGAGCGGACCCGGCGCCCAGCGGCGAGTTTCCCCAAGTTCTGCACAACTTTAATTATCCGCTGACAATTAAGTCAACTTCGGTAACTGCCTGCTGAACTGTTAATTACTTCCACCCACGTTTCAGAGCCCACGTCTGCGGCTCTACCCAGGGCAGGGCCACCGAGGACTGGGTTTGCGCCAACAGCCAGGCTGGCTTTTGCCGTGAAAGGCCAAGCTGGGGACCAGCAGGAGGACCACAGGGGGTCAAGGAGGGACACTTCCAAGTGCTGGCATTTCAGAGCTCGAAAGAATCGCCTTTCTCACTTCGCACATGGCGGGACACACGTACCGCCCGGGCTGCAGAGGGCAGGCTCACCGGCGTCACCCAGGCGTGACTGGGGCCGGGTCTCCCGGCCGAGGCTCTGGGTCTCAGCCGACGACCTCGCGCACACATCTCTCCGCCCCCCAGCAAAGGACAGCAGCGTCTCCCCACAACAATCCACCCCCCACCCGCCCCTTGGCTCCCTGTCTGATGGCCCCAGGAGCCCTGGGAAGTCGGCAGGTGGGCGGCCGTGCGAGGTGCACCCACTTCACGGAGCCCGCCGGCGGGCGCCGCCCCCTCTGTTACTAACCCTATCACTTCCCTCATCCCCCCACACAGTCACAATATTGTTGGGGCGGTTGTCACCGAAACCTGCGGCGTGACAAATTGCATGCTTCTCGTTGTTGAAATCTCCTGCTCCCCCGAGAAGCTCCCGGAAGTTTCTATCCTTGTCTAAGGAGCCCTCCCGCCCAGCAAGTGAGGCGAGCTGGAGCTGAGCGCCCGGCGGCCCCCTAGTACCCGTGGCATGGGGAGCAACGGCGGACAGGACCAGGACTCAGGCAGTGACGCAGGGCCCCACGGACGTGCTGGGAAAGGACGGGGCGGGGGGGCTCGCGGACGTGCGCGCACCCGGGGCCCGAAAAGGGGCCACGCACGCTCACCTCGGCCTGGAATCGCCAGACCAGCATCTTGCCCACCCGCCTACAGTGTTGACTTTTCACATCTCTGTATTTCTTTCTTTCTACAGAAGGATTGGGCATTTGCATACACTGTATCACTCTATACGTTGTGCACACTGACATTTGTATACATTGTATACATCGCATACACTGTGTTGCTGGATACAGTGTGTACATTGGCATTTGTATACGTTGCAAAAAGAGCCTCAGTTAAGACCCTCAGTCCTGAGTCTCCAGCTCCTGCTGTGTTAGAGGAAGCGTGAGCCAGGGAGAGTGGGGGCGGAAGGGAGCTGGGGCAGAGTTCCAGGGGGTTTTCCAAGGCCACTGGTCAGCTGGGGGCCCTGTGTAAATTACTTCCCCTTTCTGGGCCTCAGTTCCCCTGACCAAATTCGACCGCCTGGCTCTATGGCTTTGCAAGTGGCTGAAGCCCATACAGAAGCATGTTCTCCTCCCAGAGCACGGTGTGAACGCAGGTGCCGGGGGTCACCCAGAGGTCACGCTTCAGTGGGCGGGATGCGACCCGGGAGCCCCTGTCGGCGCGAACCCTCACTGAGCGCGGGGTGACGCACAGGGTCACACTCTGAGATACACTGATAAGGTGCTGCAACCCCCGAGGATAGACCGTTCCTCGCTAAACCGGGGCTGGCTTTTCAGGCCGCTGGGCTGGGTCCTGAGCTCCCGGACACAGGTCCACGTCCGTCC